AAAACATCGGTGACTACCATCTATTTGATCTTGTCTAACTTCAAGTAAGCATTTTCTCAAAGAAGTTAATCTCCTACATGTGACAAACTGTAAATATGCATACATTCAAGTGTCCTATATTCACTGAAAGACTAGTTTTTTTTTATAGAAAACATGTGACTGTTAATAATTATTGTTACCTATGTTTTTCACTATAGCGTTATAGATTGTTGTTATGAATCGATCATTGTCAGACCATTAATAGAAACCTGGAAGCACTGGACGGCCGGTTCGTCCTAGTATAAGAGTTATGAGTGGTGCGCAGTCACAACATCCGCATCCTAAACTCGGACCTGGGACCTACTGTCCGGTATGTAGACACTCTAGACCACAGGACTGTCATTCAGTGGTGTTAATGTCTAACTTTAATCAGTCCAAGGTATTTCGCAACCGCACTCATTGTCTTTGGTAGGTAACTGTCTACAACGGACAGGGTTGAACTCCACTGGCCACATCTCACTAGAACTTTCCCACGAGCAGAGATCGTGGGTGCTCACTGCTGGTAAGTCCCATACTAGGACGAAGCGGTCGTCCTGTGCTTCCAGGTTTCTTAATGGTGACCTAGCAATGATGGATTCATGATTTCAATATTATTTATGCATTTAAGACCAATTTGTAGACAAAACCGTCGTCAGAATGAACCTAAAACAGAATCGAAATGTTAGGATTTCAAAAAAAATCGTATCTGTGCGATTATTTTCGATAATATTTACTTGAAGGTCTATAAACAGACTGATGAAGAAAATCAAGATGGTGGTGGTGTTTTGTTCTCTGAGCTCAGAGAACAAAACACCACCACAATCATCCACCTGAGCTACAAGTTTTCTCCACCATCTCAAAATCAAGATGATAACTGGAATTTCGTTCTTTATTACTCGGGTTTTAAAATGACATGTTCATGAAAACTATTTTCATAGTCTCCTAAATAGCTTGAGACACTTGAAAAATAAGACAAAACACTAAATGTTTCAGCTTAGATTAGGAAACTAAACTTTTTCCGCTTTATTAACTCAATACATATGTTACTTAAAAGTACTCGCTTAGTATTGAAACGATGAATTCAAGTTGATTTTGTCTCCTTAATTATCATTTTATAGCCATGAGAATTTCCAATTCTCATTCCATATTGATTTCTAAGTTTTATGTTGCAGAAATAGTCAGATGAATATTGATTTCAGGAAAACACTGTAGACATAATTATATACATGTTTCATGAAACCAATGAAATTCAGGCCATTTGCTCGTATAGGTCATTAGAGTCGTTTAGGTCTGACATTTTATTGGTTCATTTTGACCTTCAGGTATGCATAAGCTTATCGTATTGATTGATCTAATCGAAAGTTTCTAAGCTTCAAAAATATTTGCCTAAGGAAAAAAAAAATCGAAGGGTTTCAGTTCCTTCCTTGGAAGTCAGAGTAATCTTTTTTGTTTTTAACTAATTAGCTATTTTCTTTTTGGTGAAAAATTTACTTAACATGACGAATTTGGTAATGATAGAATTGAACTGCATTTTGTCATTTTTTTGTTTCTGTTACTCAATTCAATAGGATAAAATTAATACAATACTCTATTTCAACTCTACAGCCTACGTTAATAATAGTTTAGATGTACTGATTAAATTATGTCACAGTAATCGTTTTTATATGAAAAAAAAATTGAATGAAGTTCCACATCTTTCCATAGTTTAATAGAAATATGACAAGATTGCTGAGTGTTCCAATTATACTTACACTGTTTTTCACCACGGAAATATTGATGCTGATAAAAATATGCATGATAGCGGATAAGATACAAATTTCAGGAGGTCGCTAAACTTCAATATAAACTAGCTTACTTCCCCAACCATCCATCTGCTAAACAAGTGTATTCTTGGCTGTCTTATTCCAAATGTCTTTCATTCTTCAATAACATTCTAATCGCGCTATACATCCGTATCTAGCACTCTTCGCTTAGTCCGTAATTTGAGGGTGACACTCTGCTAGTTGGAGTCCTCACGATTACAGTGGAAAATGGTACAGAATCGCCGCGATAGTGAAGTTAAAATCACTTTCTACCTCTCTCATTTAATAGTACCACATACTTTTTTGTTTACCGATTTATAATTCTTTATCCAATGATATTATCTATTTTTATCTTATCTACTACTAGTGATACTCACGCTTTTTACACTTCTCTATCATTTGTCATGTTTAGTTTTTCTAGCTTTGTTGATATTGTATAACAACTTAAAACTGATACATGTAAATATCAAGTTCCATGCTAATCGTAACTGACCTACTGTACTGACTTTCGCCTATTGCCCTTTAATTGAATATAGGCTGCCAACTGGCATTTTTCAACCAACTCTGTCTTGGTTTTCCCTTCCAGTACTATCTAATTTTTATTCATTTTTTAGGTCTGCCTCCAATACATATATGTACATTTATATATCACGCAAACGTGCCTAGACAATCAACACATAACCTAAGTAAAATAAGACATCTCAAAAATGAACTCAATTCATTTCGATCAGATAATATTGAATAATGTTAGCCAATAAAATAAGATGAAACAAAATGATAAGGATTAAACATAACATTGATCACAATTCACGATTTCAATGAAACTCAACAAATCTGCACAACGTTATAAATGAAAAATATTTAAAATAGATGCCTGCCTACATATACTTAGTTATAAAAAGATTACCTAAATTTAGTGATATTTATGATCGGTAATGTAATAAAGTCAGTTAAACATATGAATATATCAATTAGATTATATCACACAATCAATATTAGAAGCTGAAAACAATTAGGGTTGAAATAGGTTATTTAATATGTTAAAACCCACGGGTTCTGAACTACCGAACTTATATGGATTACCCAAAATTCATAAACCGAACAATCCACTGAGACCAATAATATCTGTGTGTGTGGCTCACCTACACATAAGCTAGCCAAATGGTTAGCTAAATTACTTAGCCCAATTCGTAATAAATTATGTAAGTTTTCCCTGTAAAAGATACATTTAAACTAATTAATGTTCTTGATGACATTAATATTAAAGAAAAGACTATGCATTCTTTTGATGTAAACTCCCTTTTTACCAATGTTCCCCTAATGAAAACTGTTAACTTTCTTTGTGAGTATATGTATAAAGTAATTTCCATCTTTTTCCCATTCACTCAAGTCTACTAAGAGAATTAATTTTATTATGTACTGAGAAAGTTCATTTCACGTTTGATGATGAACATTTCGAGCAAGTTGATGGCGTTGCTATGAGTAATCCTTTGGGACCTATCTTAGCTGATGTTTATATGGCATATGCTGAAAATTTGTGGAATGAGCACATCAATTAAGAGTGCCTTTTTTGGACATACTGTTGCGTCGTAGGGAGAATGGAACTATAAAGCGTTCTGTTTATCGAAAACCAACGTGGACTGGACAGTATCTAAATTTCAGCAGTTTTTGTCCACTGCAGTATAAGCGAGGTTTGGTAAAATGCCTCTTTGATAGGGCTCAAAGGATTTGCACCACGGATACATTTGACGACGATGCGAAATTCTTAACTGAAGCATTGATTTCAAACGGTTATCCGCTAAAGTTCATCAATAGGTGTAGAAATCAGTTAAGACAAAAGCCAGTTTTTCATTCTGCTGAGAAGAAAAAGGTTTATATCACTTTACCATTTAGAGGTGAAGCAAATGGTCTAATCTTAAGACAGAGACTAAAAGCAGCCATAGAGAAAACATACAACGCTGTTAAACTGATTATCATTGAAAAGCCCATGATTTCACAAAAAACCTAAAAGTCGCTCGAATGATTACATCACATCCCATTGCATTTATCAATTTACATGTTTGTGTGGACACACATACATAGGGAGGAGTAATCGGACTTTGCAATCAAGGGTTATGGAACATGTACCTAAGTGGCTTCAGAATCAGCTAACGTCAAATGAGCCGGTTAGCGTCGGAAATAGAAAACCATGTTTATCGATCGTAAAACACAATTGAGACAAGGCATAAGATTGACATGAAGACAGCCTTCAAACCATTGTATAGAAATGTTGAAGGACGAATTTTGAGGTTTATGGAGGCCTTGGCTATTCGAAAAATAAAACAACCCTTATGTGTACAGAAACAATTTGTCATAACCTTGAATTTACCCTGGTGATCTTTAGGCCTAGGGTAATGTGACAATTTTCTAACCCTTTCTTATTCTTTTCATATGACGTTAATTTTCTCTCTCCTTTATATTTACAATGATCACTTTATGTCTGTTTGAACTTTTGTTTAATTGACCTTTTATTAATCTTCATATAAAATGCCTTGACAAGTAAATATGTGTGACCAGATTGTTCGAAATGTCTATAGCGCGCAAATACATCACAATATTTTTCCGATCAATTATGTCTTCTCACTGTTCGATCAATTTTTAAAAGTTATTTGATTAACATTCAGTTATTATGGAAGAGAATAATCAATGATCTTTTATTCTGTAAATATCATTCAAATTAGAAAAGCTTGATAATGATTTCTTCTGTAAATTAGAGTTATGCAGATTAGTGTTTTTACACATTTGAAATCACCAATCGGTCATTATTAGACCACCATTAGGAACCTGGAAGCACTGGACGGCCGTTTCGTCCTGGTATGGGACTCATCAAGTAATGCGCATCCACGACTCCTTCTTCCATAAAACAAAATAAAATTGGTATTGATTATCTGTTAATGATTTAAAATTATTAGATAACCCCCTTTTTATGTTCAATAGTCAACAGATTCTTGACAATTGAACTTGTGCTTCACCATGTTTCCACTCCATTTTGACATTTGTATTTATTTTATCAAAAATTTAACAATATTTACAGTCACACAGAATTAATAATAATAATGATAGCATTTAGTTTGCTTGTTTTTTTTTCCATGAAAATGTTTACCTATACCCATGATCAATAATTATTTTATTCATTCACAGATTATGCACGATGAGGTCAGTGAAACAGAAAATATACGTAAGAATTTGGCTATTGAACGTATGATTGTAGATGGATGTGATTTATTGCTTGATGTCAACCAAGTATTTGTACGTCAAGGTAAGTAAAACTGATCAAGTCTATGTTTCAAAGTTTATGATTTAGTTTGAATGATAAGTAAAATAAAAATGCGTTTGAAGTGTTTTTTACTGACTAACCAATCGGATTCAAAGTAAAGAAAAAGCATGACACTAATCAGAATAATGTAACTAGAAAGATGTTTAAATCATGACGGGATTAACTCATGTAGTAGAGACAGACTAGAGCAATTCACCGAATTGTGATGAGTCATAAATGTTAATTTAATGAATTAGTTATTGATATATCATGGACACTATGATTGGATTAAAGTTGAACTCATTGCCTTGATGTCATTCAGAGTGTTCAGTATACTATCACTTGAATTTTACAATTCTTCTTAAAGTCAGTTAGCAGAACAATTGATCTGAAATAGTTGAAAATTAAGGAACGATTGAGTTATTCTAATCTGACTAATTCTATTAGACAAATTAGAATGTATCTATCTGATGTGGCTGATGGGTCCCCAACTATCGTTTGGTAATCCTTTTACTTTTCTAATTTGGTTTTTGAACTATGAATTTCTTATTTTTGAGCTAAAAGCCACCCTCATTACCTTTAGTTCATGGTACTCACTAGTTAGAACTAGTTAGAACCCCATTGGTTAGTTTCCTGTCACAGTGCTCTATTATGTAACTTTCGATGACGGTTTTTGTACTGTAAATCTTACTCTTGACTTGAGTGCTTGTCGATTAGTTTGCTCGAGGCTGCCTGTGGACCATCCATTCTTTAGACTCCTACTCTTTTGTCATTAACAAACGCTATTGCATGTATTTGTGGAATTTAACAGAATAACCTTACGATTACTTTACACTGAAATCTTAAATCAATCATTCTTAGACCACCATTAGAAACCTGGAAGCAATGGATGGCCGTTTTTCGCGCATCCATGACGCCTGTTACTCGCAGAATTCGAACCCAGGACTTTCGGTTTTACGCCCGACCTACTGTCTTCGGTAGTTAGTGCCTACACCTTACAGAGTTGAGTTCCACTGGTCACGTTTTCTCACTAGAACACCAAGAATTTCCTCATGAGGCTAGTCGCTGTTGAGCTTATTTTACGATTTTTCATCATAGGGTTAGAGAGATTGATGTTTTACATTACTGAAGACAATGGGTGAGGTTGCGCAACACCGTGGATTGACCAAAGTCAAATATTGACACCGCTGGATACCGAAACAGAAGTTCAGCATCTGCGCACAAAACCGAACATCCTGGGTTCCAATCCTACTAGTAGCAGGAGTCATGGATGCGGACTGCTGATGAGCACCGTACCAGGACAAAATAGCCATTCCGTGCTTCCAGGTTTCTAATGGTGACCTCACAATGATTCATTCATGATGTCAATGTAAAACAACAATTTCCATAATTCTATGGTAAAAAAAATCCTATGATTATAATTGGAAGTAGTTATTGTAGGATTCATACTGAGGTTTGGACTGAGGAATAACTATCTAGGTAGTTTAGACAAGCCTCTTGCCCAGTTGAAACCAAAACAATTGATTCGGGTAAATGACGGTTCTAATATTCATCATATTTATAAATATACATCATGACTTAAACAAATATTACCACTCAGTTATTCCACCAACAAGTGTTCAATTAATCAAATCAACAGCAACAAATAACTGATATTCTATCACTCCTGGATAGATCAGATTCGTTCAACAGATAATATTTGGTTGCTTTATGACACAGAGTGCTTCCAATTCTGGAAGAGTGCTTCAAGTCACAATCAAAATGCACAATTCCAGTCAATGCAAACACCTGAATCAAAGGAGGCACAAATCAATATGGCTGTCGCCATGACTAAGTATCAGCTTATACAAAGTAATGCAGTTCAGAAAGAAACATAGAAACTCGGTAAAGACAGAAGAAATAGGCACTATAATAAATACAAATATTATCATCTCAAAATGGAATTGAGCAGATTAACAAAATGTACAACTGAAGAAATCAGTAAGGACAAATTACAAATGTATACATGGAGGGATTTACACAAACAAAGCCTTCAAAGAAATGGATCATACAATTATTATTTTACAGAAAAATTTTCTTTGAAAACAAGTTAATTAATTAATTCCATATTAAATACTTTTCTTATTATAATTTTATTTTCATAAAAGAAATATAGTTGAGCTAATTGACAAGATCCATTTTGAGTTACATTTAAAACAATCAGAAAAAAACTCTTGACAACCTATAAAACCAATCAAATATGAACAACAAATATGAATAGACGATTTACTGTTACCGGTACTAGAATTTCGATCTATTCTGATAGGTCATTTGTGCTTTCATATTTAAATTCCAACTCTAATGCTAAATGATAATCTTAAACCATAATTCTGATCTTAAATCGCTAAAACCTCACTCACCTAAGTATTAACTGACAGTTTGATCATCGTCAAAATTCATTTTTAAAAATTCAATAGACAAGATAGTATACTGAAAATAGACACTGATCTTGTCCAGCTTCAAAGTTTACCTATTGTTCTCTGCTGACTTCTAAATAAGTACAAATTCCAAGTTCCAAATTCATGTTGTCTACAAAGCATTCAAAATATGCCCTTGGGGTGTTAATTACAGTTAAACAATAACAATGAACGGCCGTTTCGTCCTGGTATGGAACTCATCAGCAGTGCGAATCCACGACTCCTGCACCCCGGAGGATACGAACCCAGGAACTTCGGCATTGTGTGCGTCCAGTGCTTCCAGGTTTCTAATGATGGTCTAACATTGATCGATTCATGGTTACAAATAAAACTTAACAATCTTCACAACAACCCCGTAATGCAATAACACTGAAATAATTTTACATTTTACACAAAACATATATATGCGTGTCAGTTCAACACATTCATTTCAGTCAAATTATGTTGAATAAATAAAAAATCCTACTCAGTAAATATAACACAAGTGGATAGATACTTCAATGTTCAATAATCAATTTCCCTTTCATTTGTTTATGAATTCATCATTCCTATTAATTTCTTCCTTTTTTTTTAATATTTCGGCTTAATTATCTGATTTTCATAGTTTTCAATAAAAATCATGTGACCTCAATCATGTATGTTTATCTGATGAATGATATTTTTTGCTTTTTTTTTCAGGGAATAAATAAAATAGACCCTAGATTTTTTGTTGTTGTTGTTGTTGATTGATTGATTTGAAATAATAGTAAAAATTTTAATTTGTGAATAGGTGAAAAACTTGAAAAAGAAATAAAATGAAATGATCTTTACTAGTTGATAAATAAATTCAGGGTATTATATTATTAGAGTTAGAAATAGTAGAAGTAGTAGTAGTAGTAGAAGTAGTAGTAGTAGTGTGGTGCGCGCTACTTATAAGTAGTATATGACGCGAGTAAAAACGCATGAACAGTGAAATGTCAGACAGTGGATTGATGTTTGCAACAGGAACAGTCCAGTTCGATATGATGGATTGATATTTTGCAAATTAACGATTTACGATATGGTTTTCCTATTTTACCAATTAACTCTGTAATTTGAGATAAATACAATCCGGTTGCCCTCACCTGTGTTCTCCTTCACTACAGAAGTAGTAGTAGTAGTAGTAATAGTAGTAGTAGCAGTAGTAGTAAACCAAAGGTTGTAATCCTCTTAAATTAATGTTAAATATTATCAAAACTTTACGAGATTGTAAACATTTCTGTGAGTTATTTGACGTATACACACTGGAAACTAATATCATATCAAAATCGGAGTTAATGGAGTAGGTTTGTTTGCCACCAAAAAAGAATTTGTAGTCATTGCATTGTGTCAGTTGGGGTGATTGTCTGATGCATATTTTTCTGTCAATAAACCTACTTTCTTCTTCAATAAAATGGTATTGACAAGGAAGTGTTGTATATATCTGTTTTTGATTTATAGAGAATATTCTCCGTAGACTGAAAAATTAGATATCAATAGACTATGTAAGTCAGTCAGATGCAACGTAGAACTTCGTACGTAAGTACATCAGTTCATGTTGCCATACCACATCAGCAAAGAGATATAATTATCAATTCAAATCCAATAGTAGTAGAGGTAGTAAGGGAATTAGAAGTAATCGGAGAGGTTAGGGTTAGAAGATACTATTCAAGAAGTATGATTCAGAAAGAAAAGTTTGGAGAGTCGAAACTAGAGGTGTTGAAGAGTCCAGAAGATTAGGGTTTGAGAGAACACAAAGAATAAATGCACCGGCGCCATTGCGAACGATTTTGAGCCATATCATTCAGGGTATCTAACCATCGATTATTATCATCTTGCGGACCCCAACCAGGTAGTCGACATATACCGACATGGCTCAGTCCACTTGTCAATGACTTCATGCATTTCTGCCATGTTTTGGTCTGGCCACCCCTAACTTTCTTCTCCTACACTACAAAACAAAGCTCGTCGAGGCAGTCGGTGGTTCGGCATACGCAAGATATGTCCCAACCATCTCAACTGATGAAGTTTCACCACTTCATCGATTGATCTGCCATCCTTGCCTAGTACTCGGGAATCTACACATATTAAAAATATAAATATATTGTTTTACTCGATAATCGCAATCTATATACTACTACTATTACTACTGCTACTACTACTATTATTATTATTATTATTACTACTATTACTGCTACTACTACTACTACGACTACTACTGCCAATAATAATAGTAATAATAATAATAATAATGGTTTTATTCATAATTGTATGTTTAGTATAATATCGAATTTTCAGCAAACAATATGTCAACAAGTTTCCTTTTTCAATGTTTATTGCCAGTCACTATGATAATTTGCATAGTACTTTTCAGTATCTTGTGAAGCGATAGCTCGTGAGTTTTTCTATAAACGCGCCTAAATAGATTGTGATTGATAGAAATAATTGATGTGTTAGAGAAAACAAAAAACGGAAGTAACTTTTTGAAATCTTTTGATGATAAGAAAACATGTAGCTTAGAGATTTAAACAGGTTGCCAAGAATGTGTCA